TGGAATCCGTAAACATAGACCTTGACTCCGAAAGCACTCGACATTGGAGGCGCAAGGTCTCGCCGTAAAAGTACATTGACAAACCACTGCCTGACAGCTCCCTCCGCACTATATCACCTCTTACTTGTCCCAATTCGGTTTTTCGGCTCGCTCTTTCTGGCTGGAATATTTCATTCAGATGATACTTTCGCTGAACATCACCAATGAAAGGTGAAACCTCTGGAATAACAACCCATACCAACTATTTTTATATTAGTTTTCTTTCTGTTGCTCCGGAAGCCTAAAGGGAACAAGTTGGAGTATCCTCTGCAACACAGTTCAGGCCCAGTAGGATATCCAAATGGTTGGTGTTAGTCCGTCAATGCAAAACATTCAACGTTGAACGTGGATTGAAACTTTGCACCAAACATCCTAATATAGACAAAGGTCTGCCAACTGTTGAGATGTTGCGTGGGCAATTTTCTAGAGACAGCCTGGACTATACTCGATACCCCTACCATGTTTGAAGCTACCCAGCAGAAGGCAAAAATATTGAAAATCAGAAAAATATTACGCCAAACTCAATGCTATTCCGATGCCTATTTAGGACTGGCGTCTCTGAATATGAGCTTGGTAATGATGAATGTCGTGCATTTAATGTTTACATCGCTCCTCACACTACTATATTTTTCTTTTTTGATGGCTTAACTAGCTAGTCGTTTTACAATGTTAGCGAGTTATGATGCAGCCACTCGTTTGATACGCGGCAACCCGCTACGGAGTGGAATTATTGTCGATCTTTTTAACACGAAAGGAGGAATTAGGATCTGATAATGATGTGACTCTTGTCTTTGTTTAGTTAGGAATATTATCAACGTTCGGCTTTGTCGCTCACTATCCTAGACTTGTTAGACTTGTTCATATCATATGAATTTAACAAGGTGCATATTAAAAGGTTTTTTTTTTTTTTCAACACCTTCGATTTTGTTGTCTTTCAATTCCATTAGTTATACTTTAGTTATGTTTGTATATAGATATATAGATCCTAATTGTTTATTCCCTTTTACCAGCACATATGCCCTTAATTGATGATTTATACATTCCCTTCCCATAGTATGCCCTCATCCCACCAAGCGTAAAACTATTTAATACCCGATGGTCTGCTCATTGTTGTATTCAATAAAGCAATAATGTCCTTATATTGAGATTTGAAATCTGGGCTGCCTGGGACTCCGGGGGGCTGTAGCCTTAACAAACTGGGCGATGACATCTGTAGTACAGCATGCCTCTCACTTCGCGCTGTTGATTTCTTCCCTCCTGTCTGTCACTTCAAATGTCTACGGCGGGCAAACATTCGCTCCTTTACTCAAACACGGTCTGGGGATGCAATATATCCCATATATCATGCAGTGCTGTGCTGGTTCCACAGGTTGTATCAAGTCCTCAGAGATAATGTCCCTTGACTCTCATTGGATTGGAGGGGGACACAACCCAGTCGGCCTGGTCCGGAGTCCGGATAGGCCTATGGGAACTGTTTGCTTCTAAATGACACATTAACAAACTTGGTACTGACGTACTGTAGCCAAGCTGTTGTATGTCCATGAAATTTGAAGATGATCAAAGACCTTGAAGCATTCACCCCCGTGCTTTCTTTTTCCTCAGTATCTCTAAAAGTCAGTCTGCAGAGGCTTGATGGTCTGCTCAGCGGATACTTGCAGATGCCCTCCGCATGAGGTTTCCAATGATATGTCGGATTATCGTGGGTGTAAAGCATATAGCAAAATACGGCTGGGTACACAGCATAAGCGTTTTTCAATACTTGTACGAAATAACGGGATGGAGAAACCATTCAAACCCTGAGTGGCATCTAGGGCGGCAAGACTAAACTCCCAGGGACTTCTTCGTCCTGATTCGTATTTCCTATTAGTCGAGTGGCTCTCCCTTAGCTTGAAGGAGAACTCATGGAATTGGATGCTCAGGGAGAGCATTAACTCTTGTCCTACTACCTTGAGAGGAGGCAGGAGTATCCCGTGTTTGCGTCGTAGTGCCTACCAGGGCGCCTTGACAGATATATGGCCATTTTCATCAACAAATTTCCCACGGTCCCATTCTCTGCTCTCCCCTTTCTTTGTCCATCTAACACTTTCTATTTCCTTATAGTCATTCGAGCCTAAACCAGCAAAGGATTTGTTTGCTTCCCACTTCTCCACTACCTTATCGTCAAACCCAGCCTCTCGTAGGCGTTCCGCACCCTTCCGTTTCCATATCTCACGGTCCCGCAGTGCCTCTAGCGCCATATCCCAGTCATCATTTGCATGCTTGTCTGCTTCCTTTGGGTTTAAAAGACCTGGTACAGGGCGGATGTGTCCTGGATGATCATCCTTGGCAGCATTGTCATCTTCAAGATGTATGTCCAACGAGGGGTCATAGTTTGACGAAAAATGGGCGTCTATGTTACTCGAATTTGTGGTTCTATAAACCCCACGGCCACGAGATTGGATAGGTTGACTATTGTCCGCCAAAGCCGTGGGTGGTGCAGGACCAATAAGATCGCTCAGTGGGTCTGAATCATCAGAGTATGTGCTGCTTCCATCATTTGGTGACATATGCCTGCTTCGAACATCTTCAGCACATGTCTGTGGGGGTAACGGCGGTGGCTTCTTGTCAGCGCTGGCATGGGTATCTGCGCGCAATTTGCCACCCTTATCCTCCACATGCTTGTGCTTTCCAATTTTCTCCTCTCGGTTCCTGCTGCGTCTCCTCTGGCGGTGAGTCCTACTTGGGGATTTAGACCGACTGCGAGATCTTTCATGGCGATCGTGCGCCCTCCTGTCACCCCTGCTCTGGCGGGGGCTAGAATTCTCTCTCTGATCTCTTGGTGGATGATCATATTCATATTTTGACAATTCTTGGGCGCGTTGATGCCGCCTATGATGATCCCTTTCACCCTTCCTGTCGTGTCCACTGGGTCCGGATTCTCGCACTGTATCCTCTTTATCTGGCCTATCCTCCAGATGACGTCGCTTTCGTGCTCTGGATATCGTATCACCATCGCCATCGGAATGCCTGTATTCTTTTTCTCCTTTTCGAATACGGCTTTTTCCATCACGGTCACGGTGATGAGGTCTTACTCCATTTTGGCCCCGTCGTTCGGGAGATTCAACTCTCCTACGTTTGTGTTCCCGATCATCTCGCCCATCTGACCTTGAAGACCGAGATGGCTTGCCTCTTCCATCCAGTAGAGTCCTCATTCTGTGCCTCGCCTCCTCCTCCTCTTTCCGTTTTAAATTCTCGTTGTGGCTGTCTGTTTCGCGTAGAATATGCTTTAAAAATCGTGTATTTGGCTTTGGGGCGCCATTAATAGATCTATCGTAGCACACTGGTTAGATCTATACTTTCAAGGATGGAGGTAATTTCAATAATACCTACCGTTTTGACGGCCCGTATACCCCAAGAGCTGAGTATCTGCGCGAGCAGTCCCGCGCATCTTTAGCAAGAAGCTGGGCAACATAATCATCATCATTGTAGTCCGCGTCTATACCTTCATTTCTGGACCTTGACATGATCTGGCGTATTGATATTTGCTTCGTCAAACTGCCTTTTGTCTTTCGTCGTCAGCATTAAGCTTGAAGCTGGAACTTTTTCGATATCAAGATAACGCTGACTAAGCCAAGAAAAGTCAAACAATGCAAACAATGCTTGTTTACTTTTTGTTATCGCGATAAGCTTAAATGTTTATCTTCACTCCGCGATATCAACTTCCTTAGACGATGAGACAACAAAGACAAGTAGGACCCGCAGAGACGTTGGAGTCAACGTGGGTGGTCACGCACAATGGTTGACACTGTTTACTCTGATGCGCTGGCGCAGATTCAGGCTCTAGACAAAGAGATACCTACAGATTCCCTTGCAATCATTCGAATCAGCGAGCCAATCGGCACATCAGATGGGAACGCAGCATCGGAGAGGTCGCCATCAAAGCGTACCTCAGACGTGTCTACGGACGCATATGATAATCCAACACCGGCGACATTAGAAGCTGATCTGACACATTATAAGGTATATTTACCGTTAAAAATATTTGAATTAAACGACTAAGTAACAATGGTTTTAGGAACTATTCTCCAAGCTCCGATTTTCATACCTCGAACAAGTCACGAAAGAGAAGTTTCTACGTGCTATTGTTGGTGATCCACCGCTAGTCGTTGCACATAGTGACAATGTCGAGCTGGAAGCGGAACTCGCACAAATAAAGGAAGAGTTGCAACGGCGAAAGGAGGAAGTAAGGATATCAGTCGAGGAGATGGAAAAGATGAGCAGAGACCTAGCAAAAAGTAAAGACACTCGCCTATGTTCCTCGCTAAAACCTGGCACAATTGAGCTAATTAGCCCCATATATCACAGGGTATGAAAATATACAGTTACAGACCACACAGCTTTCAGAGCTACCGGCTTCAATTACGAACCTCGAAGAAACAGTTTCCAGGTTGCGGGATGCTCAATCAGCGCAGCTTCAGGAACGATCATCTCTATCTCCATCTCAAAACCTCCCGCTTGAAGCCACTCTTCGACTTTTGGCAAATAAGGATGCTGAACTAACAAGCCTGAAACGAACGCTTGCGTCTTCAGAAACAGCATTAGTCCGTAAAACGGGAGAAGCAGAAGCATTGGAGAGGGAGTTGGCTGCGTTAGAAAAGAAGAGAAATGAAGTTGTTGCGCAAGCCAAGGAGGCGCAACGACGGAAACTCCAGGGAGAGAGTGACGGGCTTGAAGAAATGGGGCGATGGTATGCAGGGGCAGAGCAAATACTGAAAAGCTTAGTATAACCCTGCATTCTATGCGAGTTCAAGTAGGTGTTGGATTATTGATCAGACACAAGGTATGTATATAAAGGGAAATGGTCGCTATTGTATATTGAATGGTTTGGTCATAAGTCGTATTTCATGATATACATGGGAGTATTTTGGATAGCGACATCCATTTATTATTTTGTTTTATTTTGTATCCTCTTTTTTAATCATCTACTCCTCGTCTTCCTCCTCCTCCTCGTCATCACCCTTCTCGGCAGCTCTCATCTTCTTGCGCTTAACGCGGCCAGGGCGGCCACCACCAAGAGGAGAGGTGAGGGAGAAGTCAATGTGCTTCTGGGAGTCAAGACGGACAACGAAGGATGGGACGTTGACGATTTGCTTGCCGACACTATTGATAGACGTTAGAAATAGCCCAATGAGATATGCATCAGTGCGACATGGATGCGTACCGGATGTGTCTCTGTCTGATAAGAACACGGGCATGATGGATGGACTTGGCCAATCCAAGTCTGTAGACGCAAGTCTGAAGACGGCGCTCCAAGAAATCTTCAATCTTAAGAGCAAGCACGTAATCGAGCTTCATGCGGGACTCGTCGAGGACACCAACACGGACAAGTCGTCGAATCAAGGCGTTACCCTCGAAAAGACGCTTGGGATCCTTCTCGTCAAGAGTGAGAAGCTCACTGCAGCCACTCCTTATTAGTCTCCACCTCCTGATATCACTGGTACCATAAATTCCAGGGAATAACCATACCGAGCAGCACGACGGATCTTGGACAAAGTCAGGTTGACACGCCACACCTCACGCTTGTTGCGGAGGCCATATTCGCCGACCAGCTTCAATTCGGAGTCACTAGAAATAGGCGAAAATGCGCAGGTTAGGAACAGTTCGCACCAACGACATAAGCAAAAGCAAGCTAATTGCTCAGTGGCCGGGAAGTACTAACAGACGAGCCGACTCGAATGCTATCAGAAAGAGAACACATTAGCACTTCAGTCGAATACTTTTTTTTTCCTGCAGAATATTCAAATCGCAACTTGGAGAATAGCTCAATACTTACGACGACGTGGGACCTTGTAGGTCTTGGAGTATGCGCGCCTGCAATGAACACAGACATGTTAGCAACGCATCCAGCGCCCTCAATCTCTTCCATCTCTCTTCGTCGGGGGGACATCAACGTACGGAGCCATGGTGAATTAGTTGTCGAAGGCTGAGCTGCACACCAGAACTTGTCGATGCGAACAGGAAGAAAACGAAGAAACGAAAAAGTTCGCGAGGTTTTTTTGGGTGTTTCTGGAGATGCTGACATAAGCGGTCGCTTCTCCCGTTTGGGCGACTAGTTAGGGCTGCAGCCCTAGCCGCCCGAAAAGCGCACGCTAAGCGAAAAAGAAGTTTGCGACGTCGAAAGACAATCTCAAGCAGCGCAGCAACTTCACCAGGCTCGACAAACTCCCAGCAACGACACAACCCTTCATCCAGCCGTCAAGATGGGTCACTCAGCCGGTTTGAGGGCGGGCACTCGCGTACGTTTTGGCTCCGGCTTTTGTTGCGACTCCGTGGGCGGTACAGGGGAAGCTGACGATGTGTTGAATAGTATGCCTTTTCTCGCGACTTCAAGAAGAAGGGTGTTATCCCGCTGTCCACCTACCTGAAGACCTACCGGTACGGGCCCTTTCGAATGATGTGTATACGGATGATATTGGCGGAATTGCCATGCTGATTCGATACGTCTCTAGTGTCGGTGATATTGTTGATCTCAAGGTCAACGGTGCCGTTCAGAAGGGGTTAGTTGACCATCAATTCCACCCGTGTTGATCCAAATCCATTCGCCTCGATTATACGACTTTCTGGTCCGAAAGAATATGATGAGCATGAGAAATAAAATAATAGAAGAGGCGGAAGATCCAATGATCGAGAAATGGAGAAGGATAATTCGATAGTAGCACCTGGTTTACTAAAACGTTTCCGTTTTCTAGTATGCCACACAAGGACTTCCACGGAAAGACCGGCGTCGTATACAACGTCACCAAGTCCGCCGTTGGTGTCATAATCTACAAGCGCGTCGGTAACCGATACATCGAGAAGCGAGTGAACGTCCGCATCGAGCACATCAACCACTCCCGATCCCGAGAAGAGTTCCTCAACCGTGTCAAGGAGAACGCTGTCAAGAAGCGCAAGGCCAAGGAGGAGGGTGTCCATGTCCACTTGAAGAGACAGCCCGTCGGTCCCCGTGAGGCCAGAGTAGTGAGCCTGGAAGGAAACGCCCCAGAGACCCTTGCTCCTCTTCCATACGAGACGACCATTTAATTTAAGAATCCAAAAAACGAAATTATTGAAAATACCACTACCACACGTTTTTCTCTCTGCTTGTCTCAAATTTCAAAAGCCTGGGTCCAGAGGGGGTTTCTCTTGTTCTATAGGTTTTTGTTTTTTCCAAGGTCGTTCCAAGGAGCATAGGAAAGGATAACAATGTACCTTTCTCCCTTGTCGCTGCAACGGACGTACCGGAACCATTACTCCGGCTATTAATTGGGAATAAGGCACTCATGATATACAAGGCACTGAGCCATTTTAACGATTTGACCCTCTTTCCACCGGAGTACACTATGGCTGTCATTTTCTCTACCAGCGTAATTGTACGGCTTTCATAATAGCCCTTTCATGTAGCTTTTGGAAGGCATTAAAGTGTAAGGCTCTTGGTAAATATAAAATTTCTACCTCCAATAATCAAGACGCAGCAGATAACATGGAACCCGTATAAAGAAGTGTATTGGCTTCGCTTCATCAATCGTCCCTCGTCTTCAGACCATGATTATATGCCAAAGGAAATGAAAATGAGCAACCCTAGCAAGGCAAATATTATCATTAAGTAACCGGCCAGTCATGGTTCCTCGTTTTCAACATGAAAACTCGAACTCTTAACCAGCTCCACACAGAAATCGGCCCATTCAGTTTTCTTTTCATGGGCTCCAGCACCTCCAACCTCGATAATCTCTTCCTCGATATGGTCTTCAATGAACCGACCGTATTTTCGACGGTACTCGGACTTGACTCTTTCCAAGTGATGTGGCTCCCAGTGCAGACGGACTAAGCGTGAAATAAGCAGCTCAGCACGGTCACGCCCAGTGCCAGACTCTGTGATAGCCTGGTGGATGAGTAGAGCATCTCTCATGGGCCGGTTACGAACACCGTTTAGAATATGGCCTAATGTCTCTCCCTATAAGGTAAAAATAGAGTCAGTATACGGCTGGTGAATAAAGCAAAGAAGCTATACGTACCACCAAGTTTCGAGATTTCGAGAGCATAGCCCTCGTAAAGTTCTCCCGATAAGTCATCTCATATGCTTGCAACACTTCCCGAAGGTGCGCATTACCCCTTACTATGATAATCTGTATCATAGCAGTCTCGCCTCCGTCTCTTGAGGTCACTGCACGATGCAAGTCATAAACATCCCTGCGAACCAAGTCAACGTTCAAGGGCGCGTTGTCAGGCTGTCTCTTCTCCTGCAAAGCAAGTAGAATAACAACGCGGAACTTGTCTGCTTTGAGCTCAGTCTGCATGCACAACTCAAGGTTATCCTGATATCTCTTGTCGCGGAAGCAAGCCTTGATCTCCTTGATTTCAGCATTGGGTCTCCCAATAAGTGACTCGATAAGGAGTTCATGCCGAGTACGGCTCGATTGATACCAGAAATTGGCCCACAGAGCTTCCGACTCCCACTGCCCCAAGGCAGTCGCATAGCATACTTTACCAAAGTTTCCGGGGACCACCATCTTGATATGCTTGGCCATGTTCACCCCCTTTCTGGTCATGACCCTTAGATTCTTGTATGCGCCACGAAGATGCAGAATCTCATCAGATGTGAGGTATGGAAGGATCTTTATCAATGTTTTAGCATTGATTTTGGAATGATTAAGGGCAGAATGGACCAGTTTCGCGTCATCCTTGGGGTCATAGACGTACACCTGAGCTTCCTTAGGTGCAATCTCCTTGATCACGCTCGGGCCTAAGCTGGTGGACAATCTCCTACGGATTTCAAGTTCCAGGCCAGGATCTTCCATCTTTTTCTTGTCTTTCTTACTTCTCTTGCGGCCTAAAGTCCTGCTTTCTTTACCGTTGAGAGGCTCCATGTCTGACAAGGCATCATCCCCAAGGGATGTTGGCCATTGAATGGGGGATATACTTTGGTATGTACCCTTATAAGGCTCTAGGAGTGGGCTGGCTGGAGGGTTGGCACCATCTGGGAAACTGCCGGGTATCTTCATTTGGTTGTCAGGAGCTAAGTTCAAGTTACTTGGCTTGCTGGAGACAGTTTGACGACGCGGCTTTATTTCTAGATATGAAGGTTGCTTCGGCTGGGTAACAGGAGCCGGAGCATATTGGACTTTGCTAGGATTTGTAGCGGCAGCAGCGGCAGTAGCAGCAGTAGCAGGAGGAGGAGCAGTATAATTAGAGTTAGTAGTAGTAGTAGCAGCAGCAGTAGGTGCGGGTGTCTGGGTGGAATATCTGATCTGTGACGCAGGTACAGAATACTGGTAAACATCTGGCTTGCTGTATGTTTGCTTTGTAGGTATATGTCCAGTAGAGGTTGCGCATTTATGTTCTGGCTTCGGGCCCAATGTCTGAACAGTAGCGGGCGTTTGACTGTATTGTGGAGGTACATATCGCGCAGCAGGAATGCTAGGATACTGGGTAGTGGATGTTGCCGGGCTGGCGACAGTTGCCCCTGGTATCACACTGGGAATAGGGCGAGTATAAGTTGAGGTCTGCGGGCGGGGAGGCAGCTCTGGGGCTGTCGCCACTGGAGCGGTGGAAGCTACCATAGGCTGTTGCTGCAGTTGGTAATACTGGGTAAGATTGGCATATATATTTGGCACCTCGGAATGATTATTGTGATTATCATTATGTGGTTGGGGAGCTGCAGCAGACTGTTTCTCAGCTGTTGGTGGAACATAGCCTTCACGTTCACATTCGGGGATTTCAGCCCATGCATTGAGATCAATGTCAGATGGTTTCTCATCAAACTGGCGGTCCTTAGTATCGGATGATGGGTAAAGCTGCGACTTCAGCTTTTCCAGCGTACTGCTTAGTCCAAAGTTCTGTGTCTTCTGTATCATAGGAGGCATCTCGTCTCGAGGAGAGGAGCCGGCGGGCGCAGGAGCTTGTTCTGGCTCAAATAAACTTCCATGTCGCGGCGATTCCCTGGTTCTACTGCGGGAGTACCGTCGCCGATCCGCTGTATACTCCTTAGTATACTCATAGCTGGAGTCTGAATCATATGTCACCTTTGGGTTTGCCGGGCGCCTGCCACGGGATCCTGATCGTGACCGCAAACGACGGTGATGGTTTCTAGCAAGGGGGTAGTCGTAAGGTTCACCATATGCCAGATGGTCATCTTCCGACTCTGAATAGTATGCTGGCTCATGTAGTCGGGATGGCCGTGGCGAAGGATAAGCGACAGCCGGCGGCTTGGTGGCCGGAGCAGCGTCAATATCCGAGCGAGAGTCGTAAATGTAGCTTGACCGCTTGCTCTTGGATGGCTTCGAACTAGAAGAATATCTATCCGTAGGAGCTAGTGCATGCTCGTCGGAGAGATAGTAGTGATCGTTTGGTACTTGCGTAGAGTACTTTGAGCTCCTTGATGGCCGATATCTTTCATCATCGGACGGGGAAACTTCTCGATACTGCGTAGACATGCGTCGCGCGCTTGTCCGCCGAGAGACTTCGTCTTCATACGAGTCATAGTCATAGTACTTTTTTGACGGTTTCTCCCTCTCCCTAGAAGGAGAGGCCCTGCGAACATGGCTATGGCTGCGGCTATGACTGCGTTCAGTGTGATCGTGCTCACGGCCGTGTCGCGATCTTGATCGTTCTCGAGACTTAGACCTCGATCGGTAGTACTGGTCAGGGATTCGAAGCGACATGGCTGCGAGATATTGGCGAGCTTCAACCAGCCAGTTCCTCCGTCACAGAGCAAAGTAGAGGTGCCTTCTGGGAAAATAATAGACCTCCGAAAGCCGTAGGATAAACCACAAGCAGCCAGAATGGTGTAGCTCCAGAATGCAGAGTTGAAGGATTGTGAAGGAAGCGAGCCAGCGAGAACTCGTTTACTAGTGAGCTGCACGAGCCTTGCGAAGCGGGTTTCAGCCGCTTTGCACGACCAAGCAACGGCCGCTTGGCCCCCATATTTGCTTAACTCTGGCCTGCACGACGCTGGCGCACATTGGCTGGTCACGCAGGAGGTGCCTGGTGATGGCTGGGGGGGTCGCCCGCTCGTCGTATTCTGTATCCATGCGATTGGCTGTGCAGGGATATGGCTGCCCTGTCAATGTCCCGAGGTTTGCGAAGCCCATGCCAAAAATAAAGGAGAACGAAAACTCGTTCACTGTGCAATTATTATATATATCTTAAGTCCAAGAAATAAGTGAGTAAACTCTCCGTCATGAGAGAGAAAAATGCCAAAAAAAAAAAAAAAAAAAAAAAAAAAGNNNATATGCGCTTGTACTCCGCATGCGCCGATCCAAAACTGCGGTTCCAGGAACTGCCCAGCTTCATAAAATGGTCATGACAATCATAGCACCAGCACCAGGCTTGGTCATAAAGACATTAGTTATACAGTACATTACTCTCATCGATCACAAGGTACCGGAGGAGGCTTCGATTTTACCCTCTTTGATGAGCCGATCCCTCATTTTTGCTTTGATAGGCACGTTGGCCATGCCCTCGGTGAGCGGACGACCAGTCCTGAACCAAACGTAAGCATTAGCCAAACGGCTCCTGATCGGAGAGAATGAGCAGGAACTTACATCAAATCGTCATAATGCATCTGGGCGCCTTTATCCTTGATCTGTACCTGAGTTCGTTTGCTCAGTATATTCCCAGCCATGGAATCTCGCCTCTTTATCTCAGCCCAAGAAGGCCCACCACACACTTCAATCAGCTCCCTCAGGCACGTTTCCTCTTCAAGTGACCAGGCTCGCCGAGGAGCCCAGTTTCCTGCACGCTGAACTTCAGCGTTTACAGACTCAAACCGTTGTGGTGGAGGAGCAGTGGTTGAAGGCGACCTAGTCCTAGTGGCCGCCCGGCTGTTGTTTGTCCTATCTCCGCGATAGATTGAACCTGGGGTAGGTCGAGGAGGTGCCGCAGCACTTATAACACGGCGTTTCTTGACCGGGCGATTATCGGACTCAAACTCGTCATCATCGCTCTCAGACTCGTCGCTGCCATAGTCCAACGCTTCGGCACCACGCTTCTGCGGGCTTGATACAGGAGCTGCACTGGCGCGTGGGCTTGGAGAGAAACTGATG